CTTTCTTTCTGATCTAGTGCAGGGTCTACAGGGTCTCACTGCACAGATTGGACTCGTAGTGATCCTCCTGTTTTCAGCCTCCCAAGCGCTGGGGCAGGCCACCATGCCCAGTCTTAGTCGCCCTCTGAGAGGATCAGGGGGGCAGGGCTGAACCCTGGTCCCTACGGCTGCCTAAGCAGGCGTTTTAATCCTCTGAGTTACCCGGCCGGCCCTCAAACAGCATTTCTAAGAGACTTCTGTTGCTTTGTGATCAAGCTGGGTTTCTTGAAACAACATAAAGACTAAGAAAGGTTGAGACAAAGGCTCTATGCTGTTAGTTTACCTTTCTTACTCTGTCCTCGCTCCCACCTACCAGGGGACTGACAGGGCCCACAAAGATTCCACCTTAGACGCCACTAAGGCCTCGCCCCCGGAAACCCAGGGCTGCGCAGGCGCAGATACATAGGAAGAGCCCCAGCCTCTGTTCCCCGTGCATGTGCTCTGCTCAGGGTTCAGGCGTAGAATGTGGGGCGCTGCGAATGTGAGTCACCCAAAGCGGCTCCTGAGCCTCATTTGAAGCTTTGGTTTTGCTTCCAGGTTTAGCTTCTCCCTGTTGTGTCAACATCTGTTAACCTGTGCCAGCTCCAAGTCAGTTTCAGCAAGCTGAGTGAGTTGTAAAGCAGAATAGCCTTAGTTTCCAAAAGTATGGGAAAGAATCAGGTCCTTAGCAGGCTGGGTGTGGTGGTGAACGCCTGTTGTCGCAGCACTCAGGAGGCTGAGGCAGGAGGGTCACTGCGAGTTTGAGGCCAGCCTAGACTACAAAGGGAGCTCAAGGCCAGCCTGAACTGCATAGTGAGACCCTGTCTCCAAGCCAACCAACCAACCAACCTTCATTGGTCTGAATGCCTTTGTAGGTTAGTATCTACTCAGCCATAAAAAATGAATCCATTCCAGTGGTTTTTATATGTATGTATGTTTTTTGTTTGTTTGTGGGGGTTTTTTTTGTTTTGTTTTGTTTTGTTTTTTTTTTAGACAGCCTTTGCCCACTACCCAACATAATATCCCTCTTCCAGTCTCCATGGGAAGGTAAGAGTTTAATCTCCGTAAGTGACATTTACCAACAATCCCTGAAGGATCACAAGTGGGCTAAACCTCCCTTCTCATTTTCTGTAACTTTTTTACTTCTTTGACATTGCCAAGAACCACAATGTAGTTCAGGCTAACTTTGAATTCACTAGGTAACCCAGGCTGGCCTTGAATTCACAGTGATTCTCCCCCCTCAGCCTCCAGAGTGCTAGACTTAGAGGGGTGCCCTACCATGCTCGGCCACCTCTATCGTTTTATCACAGATGAAGCTGGACACTAGTTAAGTGGTAAGCACATTGTTGAGTAATAATACTATCGTAACAGGAAAGGGTCCAGTATGAACTGAACTTTGATTTATACAGCCTCTTTGTGCAGAGGTGATAGTCGGGGAGGTGATAGTGGAAGGAGTTGGGTGGTGGTACATGGCAATGTCAAGGAAGTAAAAGGTTACAGAAGATGAGAGAGAGGTCTAGTCTGCTTGTGATCCTTCAGGGATTGTTGGTAAATGGCACTTAGAGAAATTAAACTCTTACTTCCCATGGAGACTGGAAGAGGGATAATATGTTGAGGTACTGCATAACAGAAGCAGGACATTTTTGGCAGCCTTGAGCTTTCTTTTCATTTTTTTGGTGGAACCGGGGATTGAACTCAGACCCTTGAGCTTGCCAGGGAAACACTTATTCCACTGAGCCATCTCCCCAGTCCCAAGCCTTGAGCTTTCTGAGGCATAGTTCATGCCAGATTTGGGTCATCCTAAAAGTGTGGGCCTAAGCCATTAGAAACTCTTAGTGTTTTCTTCAAGTCTGTGGAGAGAACCTGGCTAGAATTTGGTGAAGAAGAGAATCTTTGTCATTCTGCCTACTTGGCACACGATTACAAGCAAACATATTCCATGTGTTATAGAACATGCAAATCTGGATGATTCTCAATTGGCCAGACTATTTTATGGTAACTTCAAAGAGACGTGCTTTGGCATTCAGATTAAAATGTACAGGGTCGGGAGATAGCTCAGCAGCCACGTGCCTCCCTGGCAAGTGCACTGTCCTGAGTTCAATCCCCAGTACTGCAAGTAAATAAAAAATAAAATGTATTAGATAGGAGCTTATGTGCAATTCCTCCGATGAAATAATAGGAACTAGCACATGTGCCTCAATTTTTGTCATTGTTTAAACCACAGAAAAAGAATTCTTGCCTCTTGAGTCATTTACTTATTTTTAATTGAAACTCAAAGGATTTTGACGTTATGCCCCATTAAAAAATAAAGCCATAAGAATATTCTCTTTGTGCATATACTAAAGATGGAACAATGCAGAGAAGATGATCGTGACAGTAGCAAGCTGCATTCAGCAGTTAACAGAAGGATTAAGGATCACGGCAAAGCACTCTTTGTTCCTGGGTTACAAGAAGGGTTCAGCATATAAAGTCACTCACTGTGACACACTACAAAATTACAATCATCTCGGCAGACAGAGAAAAAGCATAAGATGTAAATCATTTAATGCCAGGTTTGTTGGTGTGTCTATAATCTCAGTGTTCTGGGAGGCTGGAACGGGAGGGTCATAAGATTGTCCTCAAACTGGACAATTTAGGAATTAAACAAGACTCTGTCTCAACATTAAAAAAAAATGAAAGTAAACAAAAGGGCTGGTGATGTAGCTCAGTGTGAGAACCCTGGGTTCTATTCCTATTTTCAAAACAGACCCCTAAATTCTTTCATGGTAAAAATAGTCAACAGCAAGGCTAGGAGGACCTCCATACATAAGGCCATTTATGAAGAGCTCACAGCTAGCATTCAATGCAGCAGGGCAAGACTGGAAGATCAGTTCAATCAACAGAGCCTCAAAACAATAAAACAAACCTAACCAAGGAAGTGAAATACTCCTACAATTATACCTATAGCGCCGGGAATGTAATGTATCAGCACAGCTTGTCCCTGGCAAGTACAAGGCTCTGGGTTTAATTTTTGGTACAAAACAAAAATAAAAACAAACACAAAAACAAGCTACAAAATATTCCAGAAAGAAATTAAAGAAGACACAAATATAAGAGGAAAGACAATCTGTGCTCAGAGATTGGAAGGCTTAGTATTGTTAATCCTAGAATGGATTACAGATTGAGTGCAACCCTATTAAAATCACAATGTTTGTGGTTTTTTTTTTTTTGGCCAGAACAATTTCATTCCTACAAGCTCTAACACAAATGTTCACAGCAGCATTTGTCATAATAGCCAAAATGGAAACAATCCAGTTGTTGATCATCTAGTGGATGGAAAAATGAAGTGGGCCACATCCATATCCTGGAATATTACTGGACAGAAAAGGAATGAAGTGCTAATACATGCTACAGTGTGACCGAATCTTGAAAACTTTAGGACAAGTGAA